TCTTATTTTGATATTTTGTTACCCAGCATTACCATTATGTCTATATTGTATTTTACTTTCTATTTATTAGGTTGTATCTAAGTTTCCAGAGGGTTTGTTTATTTCTAAACTGCTTAGAGAGTTTGAGGTAAGTGTTTTCTTTTTCAACAACCTGATTTTTTTATGGCTTATGTTTCTTGTAATAGACACAAATTTTATTACTACTCCTTGGATCCTCTAAATCTATGCTTTAAACTTCCTGTTTTGCAATTTAGTATATTTTTCTTCATTAGGAGAGTTAAGAATATTGTCCTTAACAAATTCTCGATTATGCATAAGAGATTTTTAATCGCTTATTGTTAATGGAATAGATTAACTTGTTTTTAATGTCTGATATTAATAATACCAAGTGTCAGTGGGGATTTGGAGAAAAAGAAGACCCCATACGTTGCTTGTATGGGGACAGAATCCCTTTGGGGAGCATTTTGGCATTATTAAGTAAAATTGAAGGTGTGTATTCCCAGGGCTCTGGCAGTTCCATTTCTACATATGCACTCTAGAGAAACTCTTGCACACGTGCACGTGAAGACATGTATAAGACATACACATCACAACACAGGAAAAAAACTAAATGGCCATCAATAGGAGAATGGATAAGTACATTGAGATTGACCATTTAGACAATGGAATAGTATGTAGTAGCGTAAAACAAATGAATTAGATCTGCTTGCAACATGGATCATTTTTTGAAACCAGAATGTTGAGTGAAAAAATCAAGTTGCAGAATGATAATTCAGATAATGCCATTTATCCAAATTTTAAAAAGGTTAGTACTGTATACATAAGTATACTGTATGCATGTGCCAGGCTTTATTCTGAGTGTCTTTCATGTACTTATTCATTTGATTTTTCACAGTAAATGGAGACACAGGGAAGTAACTTGCCCAAGGATCTGATAGCTAGTAATGGGTAGATCCAAGATTTGATCCTGGGCAGCCTGGCTTAAGAATCCCAACTCTTAACTACTATGCCGTGGAAACTATAGTATATTTACAGATATTGTGAGATAGTGTAGTGTTAAGTTAAGATACATTACCTCTATATGCTATTTTATAAATGATAGACATAGACAATGAAAGCATTTCAGAAATATATGCCCTTAATACGGATGTAAACTGAAACTAGCCATTTCAAAAAGATATAATAAAATGATACAAGACACAAAACAACAACATAAATCTGAATTATGTGAATTTTGAAATAAGGTGACAGGACTTGGGAAAGAATTAGAAATGAAACCTACGCTACAAGCATTACAAGAGCAAAAATGTACAGCAGAAAGTGCCTTAAGAAAAAAGAGGAGGTCAAAAAGAGGAACAGTCTGAAAACCAAAAGGAAATGAAGGAGGTACTGAGGATCCAGGCACAAAAGTCTCTCTATCTAAGGTTTTTGAAGTATATTGAAAAACTCAGGCATGCAAACAAATTAAGACAGTATTATGTCTGAGTAGCCTATATTAGAACAATCCTATAGTTAACTATTATAAATTTTTGATAAAACATAAAAACCGCTATCCGTAGAAATTGGCCAAAAGCAGGCAGAAACTGGAAGGGGAGTCAGAAGCTGAAAGAATGGCACCTT